CGTAAAGTTTGGATTGCAAAATTACATTTTAAAAATGATAATTTTCACTTTTGCAATCTATATTCGGAAAGTTTTTTACAGTCTTTGTACACTGCAAAACATTGGTTGCAAAACTCAACTTTACCCCAAAAGTTTACACTTTTACGAGTATTATTGTTTACGTACATTAATGTCCGCAAACTCATGACCGTAAAAATAAATAATTTGACACCTGTGGCCCAATTTTACGGTCATTATTTTACATCAATTTTTTTTGTGAGCTTTGGAAAAATTGGAATGATCGTAAAATTTAACTTTGCCCCGGGATTAATTGACTTTTGCGGACATCAGCCTTTGCGGTCATGGAAGACCGCAAATTTCTTACACCCCGTTGAATAATAATGTGATGATGTCATTCTTCTCAATTTGGTTGGATTTCCAGGGTTTATATAGTCTGAACCTTGGAAATCTTTGGACTCCAAGTGCGCACAAATTGTGGTTCTATGGTTAGGTTAATTACAGTAAGACAGTTACTATTGGATTATAAGTATATTTCACTTGTTACATATGTGTTACGGCTGTGAAATATATGTAGCTTTGGTTTGCATCAAAGTTATGTATGTTCACACCCTTTGATGTAAGTTCTGCACATGTTACATATGCTAAATCATATGTAACTTGACTCTTGAAACTGAGCCTTGAGTTGTAATTTCTATTTTTAAGGTTTTTATTATAATACGTCGCCCATTGGTACTCTGGTTTAGTACTCAGGGCTGACAAACAAATTGGCGGGGAATTTGTCACAAGCTTTTCTTAAATGACTGTACACTACAGTCCAATCAGGTCATCCGGCGGATATCCTGCCTGGCGACATCCAACGGAGATCCGGCCGATCTCCGTTGATCATCCTCACAGAGGAGGTCGCGCGGATGAGATCAAGGATATCGGCGCGATATCCTTGCTTTAGGTTCCGTAATAGCTGAGAGAGCTGTTTGAATGACCAACCTACATTCAAATATGTAGTTCAAATGGTTTGGGCTGCTTTGAATTGGGTTCTGGCCCCTGGGTGCAGGAAGCGCAGCCCAGTGCGACCTCCGCTAACCCAGTGCGACCTTTTGTAGTTCTTGATTTGGGGCAATTGGTTACATTGATACATAGTAAGCAAGTGTGACCCCGTGATTTCATCCATCGGGATCATTAAAAAGAAGAGTACAAACAGTTGAAAAAAAAAGAAAGAAAAAACAATAACAAAAAATCGAGTTGAGACTTGTATAAAAGAGAGTAGGGTCAATTGAGGGATTGTAAAGATAAAAGGATGAACAAAGAGACCTGCTCATAAGTATTGAATTGACTTGTGAAGTGGATGGTAAGATGAAGGGCACAAGTAGAACATGAAGGAACAAACATGGCCATAGAACGAGGCCAAAACGAGGCCGAACAGAAAAGGTTGATGAGAAGATATAACGTAGTCTGAAGGTAGAAAAATGATCAAGTTTGAAATTTGTGAAGGGGGAGAATGAGAAAGATTCTAACGCACGAGGTCCTCTTATGAGAAGTCCTTCAACAAGACTTTCTTTCAATCTCAGACCACTGTCAAGGTCTGGGCAAGGTGTGGGACTCGTCTCAGGGTTCTGTCTTATGTGTCAACCGGACTCAAAGTGTTGACAGCCAGAACCCAAAAGACATCGCGAGGATCTCTTGCAATCATCCTCGCGATGTCCTTGGGGAGGATGAAGAATGGACATCCTCCCCTGTCAACCATTGACCCGTAGTGTACACGGCACCACAAAAGTGTATTATTGGTTGTTGAAGTTTAGCCTTTTGCCCACCCGGGTTGCCTGCCACAATAGTTTCTGATGAATGATGATGGGCAAAGTAAATATGTACTCAAATATTTTTGGACCCAAATATAGTCCTTTTTCCTTGCCAAAAAAACCCAAAAAAGTATGTGAAGAGAAGTATAATAGATAGGACAAGATGTGAGGTTAGCTCAGATCCCAGGTATCGGCTCCACAACTGATGATGATGTGGAAGCCGATGCCGAGGATCAGAGACTATATCTAACACAAGCTGTACAAAGTCACGTGATCTGCTGTGGCGCAGTCGTGTACACACACCAGTCTACAACAAGAAGTACATACGTGTACAGTCAGTGACAAAAAGTTTACGTACCTCAACTACATATGTAATAGTGCAGTGAGGTCTATGAGTGTTTTTGTCCTTGAGCATCTTCTCTATACCAACCCCAAACCTCTTAGAAAATGAAGACCTGCACCCTTTCTCCCACCCGAAAGGCTTCCATCGTTTACATGCACCAAATTGGCATTCCTGGCACTCAAATTGCTAAAAAACTAGGCCATCCCAAGTCTACTGTCTACACGGTCATCTACAATGACCGTAAAAAACGCGTATCAACGACCTCAAAAACACTCGGAAGACCGAAGAAATTCTCAGAACGTGATCAGCGAACTTTGAAGCGAATTTTAAAAAAAAACCGACGCGCTTCAGCTGCCTGGATCGCTAGCAAACTACCAATTAAAGCAAGTCTTCAAACGATCCGATCAGAAATTCGAAGACTTGGGTTTAACTCTCGAGTGGCAGTAGTCAAGCCTTATCTCAAGAGCCAACACATTCTAAGGCGTCTTCAGTTTGCTAAACAGTACAAAGATTGGACTTACAATGATTGGAAGAAGGTCATATGGACCGATGAGTCGTCTTTTGAAATAGGAAAGCCTGCAAAGAAGGTTCGGGTGTGGCGTAAGCCCGGTGAAAAATACAACCAAGATTGTTTAGCACCAAGTTTCAAGAGTGGACGAACTTCGGTAATGATCTGGGGCGCATTCACAGCCGAAATTCGCTTGCCGATGACCATAATGCCCCCAGGACGTCGATCTGGACCCGATTTTGTCGATTTGATCTATCGACACATCATCGAACCATTTATCAGCTCACCTAATTGTCCACGCGATCTTATCTTGATGGAGGATGGAGCCCCGGTACACACAAGTAAAGTGGCAAAAGAATGGAGAGATCAACATTCAATTACAGAGTTAAATTGGCCAGCAAACAGTCCAGACTTGAACCCGATTGAGAACCTCTGGAACATAATGAAAAGGAATGTTTCTGAAAAACATCAGCCTCGCACACCTCAAGAAATGCGTGAAGCCCTGTTTACCGAGTGGAAAGCAATCCCTCAGAGCAAGCTTCAAGCTTTGGTTGAATCCATGCCTGATCGGATCAAGGCTGTGATCAAGGCAAAGGGTAGACACACTCGCTGGTAAAAATTGTTGTATTCTAGAGTCTACATTACAATTACACATCCTGAAATTTGATCATAGATACTCTGACGAGTGGCCATCTAGACCGTGTGCTTTAAGGTATAGAAGTACATGAGATGTTGAGTACAATATGCTTCTTGAGAGTTGCCAAATTGGTCAGTTATAGTACAGGTACGTAAACTTTTTGTCACCGACTGTACATATTTAGCTTTGAGCTCAAAACTTGGACGAGAGATTTTTCGGCCCTCGGGGCAGCTCCGAGTCAGTTTAGTGCGCCGCCGCCGCCCACCGACGATGACGTGACCATTGCTGATCGCTTGTTTCAATTGGTTTTCTCGTCAGATCATTTTTTCCCTTGCATATCACGGATCCAATTCTTCAAACCAAGTCTCAAATAATTTCAAATTGATAAAAATAGTCAAGCGATCGAAGCGGGAGAATAAATGAATTATGTAGGTTTTAGTAAGGTTATGCTTATGATTGATTGGTAAACTCAAGAAGATGATAAATCAAGGTACCAATCAACCATTGATAGGTTACCAATCAACCATTGATAGGTACAGCGTACGGAACTACGAGAGAAAAGGAAGATGACGAAAGGAGGATGAGAAATTAATTTTAGTCTTCGATTTTCTTCATCAAGTTTCTTTTGTTTTGATTTGATTTTGATTTTGATTTTGATTTCATTTTTTTGGATGATTTTGATTGCTTGGTAACCAACAACTCGTGTTTCAAATTATTACCACCACGATTATGTACAACACTCATCAATTATAGTCCCACCCACCAATGTTGCATACGCAGTGAAAAAAAGTCTATCTTATTCAAATTCAAATCAAAATCATTTCTCCAATAGTCTTTGCAATTTTTCTTTCAAAAGTAAAGTAGCCACTTTTTAGCGTTTAACCACTCCAACTCAACATTCAACTTACAAGGAAACATTTCAAAAGGATCAATAGGATCGATGACCAGGTTAGTGATCCAAGTGAAGAATGAATGCATGAGATGAGATAAAGAAATGGTAAACTGACAGAATGTATGCTTTGATTGAATAGCTCTAAACCACTTTTATTATCACCTTCTACTTCTCTACTCAACTTACAATCTAACCAACATCAACAACAACAACAACAACCAGCAGTAGCAGTAGTGAGAAGAAGGAAACCCAACATCACTAGATCAACTTCATCTTCAATCTCAAGTAACTTATCAAGTTCAGATCAATACAGTTTCACTTCTTCTACTACTCATCTCACTCAACCTCCTCATTCGGCTGATCATTATCACCATCACCATTCTAATCCAAGTTCAACTATCACGAGTTTATTTCCTAAATCAATTCAACTTCAACCTGATCATCATCATCATCATCATTCCATCAAATCATATCAACATCAACACCAAAATCAATCTATCAACTCTTTACTTCATCATCTGGTCTTACCTAAATCTTCACATCGTCATTCTACTTATTTAAATCATATCTTATCACTCTTCAATTCTTTAACTCAATGTCCTACTACCACTACCACTACCATCAACACTAGTCCAACCAATCTACATCGAAACTCAACTCATCGTCATTCAAATCAATTCAATCGCAATAGTATTCCTTCAAGTTCCTCATCAACCCCAAACCCAGAAGCTAGCATCAATCTAGAATCAGATGGTTGGACATATCTTGGAACTCGTCAAGAAGTCAGACTTTATACAAGAGAATTAACCTCAACCGAACACTTTATCATCTCACAAAACCAACCAGAAGATGAATTTATATCCACTTCGATTCATGAATCTGTTTCATTACCTTATTTTAGAGGTGAAGGATATTTAAATGGGAAATGGAATTCGTTTGATTTAGCCGCTACACTTTCTTCTATACCGGTTCGATCGATGTGTGATTCGAAAGTAGATTTAAGTAAATCATTGGTTTATCAAATCTTAGATTCCAATCAGATTGGTGATCAATTATTGAAATTATCTTTTAAAGATCAATTTCCAATTGGACCTAGAAATCAATCATTAGTGCAAGCTTTTAGACCTTATAAGACGTCAAATCATTCTAAATCTTCTTCATTTGAACTATCACATCAACTCAATCTTCATGATGATTTTGATTTTGATGCTGATTTTGATCTAGATGCTGATACTGATGATGATTCAGGTGGGGTTTGGGTAAGTACAAGTGTAGTGGACAGTCTTATACCTGAATCAGAACCTAATTCACGTTCTTGGTTATCACTCTGTGGTTTCTCATTCCGACCTACCTCAAGACCACCTACCTATTCATCTATACCAATTCATCCATCACAACCAGCACCGAGCACTTCACCCGAATCATATAGTTCTCAAACAAGAATCCCTCACCCCGATCGTACTTCTCCAATCCAACCTCTTTCGTATCATCATTCAACTCCATCCAATTCATCATCAAATCCTAAACAGAGAATCACTTCACCTTCACAAACCATTTCAGGTGATTTACCTTCGATTGTTAAAAGATTAAGTCTTACAATCTCACCTGTTCATAACCAATTAAATTCAAGCTCTTTACCCAACCCATCAAGTTTATCAAAATCGTTACCCAATCATCATCATCATCAAAACCATCCATCTAACCAAAGATTATCTAAAAACTTATCACAAATCGAATGGCCAACGATAACCTATCAAACATCGATTTTACAACCAATTCAAATTTCTAAAAGTTCGATCAATTTAAATTTATCACCTATTAACAATCATAAGAGAAATTCTTTAATTAATTTTTCAAGTCCGATTTATTCATCTATTTCACCTACTTTGAATTTGTCTAATTCGAACCTTCGTAGAAATAGAGCTAGTTCGATCTTATCAACTTCTTCACCTGTTCATTATTCTCCAACTCAAAGAATCAGATCTGGTTCTTCTTCTACTACTCATCAAGAATTACAAGAAGAAGAAGAAGAAGAAGAAGAAGAAGAGAAGAATGGAAAGAAGGATACCAATGGGACTCATGTTTCGCTGGTCATGAAGGTTTATCATGGTCAGAAAGTTCCTTTGAGTTTGGTTCAGTAAGTTTAATGTCTTTTTCTCTTATTGTTGAGGGGAGGTCTTCTTTTGGAATAAAATGGGTTTCTTTTGTATTGATTGAGATGTGATTTTTTTTTGTTTTGTGATGGGTTAGTCAAGTTTTATCGGCTGATGTACCGAATTTAATTATGAACTTGAATCGATACTTGAACAGATACGGATTTGCGTAAGTTGAATTTTTTTAAAGAATCTTTCTCTTCAACAAACCATGAAGAGAATGTGGAAAAAAATCAACCCAAAAACTAATTGGTTTTTTTTATTAAATATGGTCATATGATAGACCACATCTAAGTAGAAGAAATCAACCCAAAGGTATCAAGATCTTAAGTGAAGAGTTTAATCCGATGACCAGTTTCTATAAGATTCTATTCAAATCGAATCAACCTAATTTAATCATGATTAGGTTTCACGGTTCAACATTTTCGACTAATCATTCTGGTAGATATGGTGATGATGATCAAGGTGAATATGAAATTATTGTACTAAGATCAGAGAAATGGAAAGTTTTGTTTGATAAACCGAACAGAGAAGCGGAAGATAAAGAGAATGAAGATGACAATGGTGGGCTATGGAAAGGGGCTGGAACGGTTTGGGTTATGTGTGCTAGGGATGGATTGCCTGTTGAGGTTATGATTAGGAAGATTGGGAAGGGTGGGAGAGAGAGAGAGAGCGGGAAGACTGATCGGGTTTTGTTTGGGTTTGGGGGTTCGAGATCGAAATAACAATAACAATAGGAATGGAAATGGAAGTCAAGTGATTCAAGACGAAAAGAAGAAAAGGTTGAATGGTAAAGACTTTGTTTTGGGAACTTCAAGAAACGGGTTCCGAGTTGGTTCTCCCCTTGGGTTTCACTTATTTTTTTGGGGGACACGGAATCTTTGGATCTTTGTAAAAAAACATTTATGGATCTTGGTATTTTTAGGTATTCTATTCTTTTCAATACTCATATCTAGGAATGATTTTTTTTTGGTTTTTAAAACAATTGGATTTCAATCTTTTTTTTGGATTTTGGCTTTTGGATTTTTGGAATTTGGATCGTTTATTAAATAAATAGATTTTTTGATTTCTTTTTCTTTTTTGGTTTTGGTTTCTCGTTATTTACTTTTTTTGATTAAGAGGAATGGTTCTTTTTTTGTTTCTTTGAATTATTATCACTCATCATTGGCATTGGCATCTTTTTGTTTTCTTTGTTTGATCATTGATCTTCATTTCTTATCACTCTTTTCATCATTTCTCATCATTTTTTTGATCTTTTTGAAAAATATAGAGAAAAGGACTTGTTTGTTATTCAAATTTCATTTGAAATTCAAATTCAAGTTGTAAAAGGATTTTTTTTACTTTGTTTTAGCATTTTTTTTGTTTGATTTTTGTTTGTCTCTTTTGTACGGATAAAATGTTTGGAAATAAATTTTCAAAAGTATGTAGATTTTTTGTTTTTTGATTTGTGCAAGGAAAAAGGATTGATCAAAATTTGCATAGATTATAGACACCCCCCTGATTTGGTCCATGCAGCCCTTTACAGGCATAGACAATCACAATAAAGCCTTGCATACTTTTTTTTTCAAGTCTTCAAAGTCATAACACATAGCTATAAAGTGTCATGGGGGAAGGATTTGGTTCTGTTTCCATTGAAGTTTAATGAAAAACTTTGAAACTGGGATTTTTTTACATCAGACTTTAATAGCCGCGTTCAAACCTGACCCGGTTTCAAAAAACCCAGTTGACCCGGTGGACTTTTTGGCTGGAAGCTGTCAAGAACTGTCAATGGATACACAAAGTTACCACCAGAAAAGCAACTGGGTAACCGGTTTTTGTGTCAACCGGGTCAGGTTTGAACGCGGCTAATGAGTCTGCTCTGGGTTCAAACCAGTCCCTAGTAGTGTTGTCTTTCTACTTGGAGAAGTGTCTTGTATTTTTGACCTGCATAAAATCCAAACAATCTATTTTTTAAGGATCCCACTATTTCTAGCCCCCTATCCGATATCCGGCGCCCCCCTCGGGTTTACCCGGGGGGCTTCAAGAGATTTGTAGCCCCTTTTCGAAAGAAAGGGGCTCCTTTGAGGGGCGCGACTTTAAGTTTATTTCGCCTTATTTTATAAGTCAACCGAACGTCCGCTACAGCTCATTGAGGTTCAGCCAAGTCGATATTGGTTTCATTCAAAGAACAGGTAAACATATTCAAGATAAAACATCACAGTTGAGGTAGAAGGTTAGAAATACCAATAACTACAATGGTTTGTGATATCCAAAATCAAATGAATTGAAAGCAAAACCAAATACTTGTACCAAGCAGTAAATTCAACAAAGTCCCTAAAAAACAAACCCATTTGTGGGCGTAGGTTGATAATCCACAACCAAGCATAAGCAACGAGCCAAGCGCTGTGGTTAAAACCAGACCGATATAACACAAGAAGGTCATACCAGAGGTTTGTTTTATAAGGATCATCATACTGCATACCATAAGTTAATAAGTCACCGGGAAAGTGGCTACATCTACATGAGAGGCTGCTGAAATCGTATATCAACTTTACTTGATGTCCGTGTAGTCGTAGGGCTGGTTCGGGTGTCTATCACTCCAATGCGAATAGCTAAAGTTTCATGACGACCTGTTCTTCTATTCACATCAAGTTGCTCTTAAATTTTTGAATCTGTTCCACTATTATTAAGATAATATGATGATGTATCGGTTGAAGATGGATGTTGAGATAAGATAGATGAAATGGATTGATTGATGCTAGGTCCACATAATGTGGTTTTTTGTTGTGATGATGAAGATTCAAAGATTGGATTGAATTGATGATGGATAGACTTGATCGAGAGAATTGATGAATTGATGGACGATGGTGCTCAATGATAGCTGGAGATTGGATGTGACTGGATTCTTTGTTGCTCTATTTGACGACCCAAGGGCTCCCAAGGGCGCAGAACAAGTCATACGGGGGAGAGTGGTGTGAATGCGCCCTCGCAAGCAGCCCTAAAGGTCCGACTATGCGAAAATCTGGCTGCTAACCTTCAAGTTTTGTCGGCCCACGCGGGTAATAGTCAAAACCCGAGGGGCGCCGGGGTTCTCCTAAGGGGGCTCGAAATAGTGGGATCCTTATCAAAACCTAGGAACGATCTTCAGTTCTGTCCAAATCAAATCAAAACTTGAAGATATTTTTTTGATCTTTCTTGTGTTGTAGTTTCAAAGATTTAGCTTATTCACAAAGCTCTTCTTTGCCCGGCCGGAAGGGATTCGAAGATGATCACTTCAAGATTTTGATGACATTTATCACGAAAGAAATTTCAAGAAAATAATCACAATTTTGAAATCGTTGATCATTACTTTGAACATGAGATTGCTTTCAACTATATATATATATATATTGATATAATTCAATCTCATTTGTATTTATACTGTAGCTTCCCTATGATTTGATGAATATTTCTTTTACTCAATAAATCCCAAACAAATCAATATTTTTTTTCTTCATTTCAATCTTTCTTCATTCCAATCTTTCTTCATTCCAATCTTTCTTGATTTCAATCTTTTTCAACAATGATCAAACTCATTCTCCTACACCTTCAAATCATTATCTTTTTTCTTCTTCCTCTAAACTCAACAACTTGTAAACCAATCACAACCACCAAAGAACCTATCATCCAAACCGACACAGTTATCTCTCCCTCAAATCGAATTCCCGTAAACAGATTTTCTCACTCAAAAGATTATTAAAGCTTCCCAAGATCCTACGGAAATATTTACTGATCTACGTTATCTTTGATCATCATAGGTACTTATTCCAAACCTCACTAAATCCCTCATTCTTAACCCTTCAAATGGATCAACCTCTTACTCTATAAAACCAAACACCAAACCCATTCCCAAATCTAGTACACCTGATCCAAACCCCTCACTCAAAGTAAGTTTGTCCCAATCTCTTTGAACCTCAATCACTTTACTTATTTCAAAAAACTGATACCATTTTTTAATGATTCAGCTTACTTCACCTTTTACTCCCTTCAACATTCTTCTAATCTTATTAATGATTCTATCTATATACTACATATCTGTAGTTTGTTTTTGTTTATCTTCAAATGAAATTGATCATCAGGATGAGATGATTGTAGGACAAACAGGACCAAAGAAAGGTGTTTAGATTTGATCAAAACTTTATCAATCAACTTATACTCATACTTGTAGTTCTACAAGAAGGTTTGAAGTCCTTTTTCTTGATTGTTTGTGTATTATACCTGAACTGGTTTCAGTTGGTATTATAGTCACCTAGAGACATATAGCCATCTATGAAGTCACCTCATTAATAAATGGATCACTGATTTGGATGACTATTGTGCCTCTGGGCACCTTGAACATCCCTGGAGATATACATCTCTGCCAGTGGGAAATGTATATTCCACAGTGTGTCACCACTCTAGCAATTTTTTCTATCAAGAACAGATTGGTTTCTTAAAAAAAATTGAATTGAAGATCTTACCCCTTCAAAGATCAATCTTAGTTAAATCTTTCAAACAATTCATTTCAAAAACAAGATCATGTTTGTTCATCAGTTTTAAAGAATATTTCTCAAAACTACATATATATATATATGTATAAAAACATATAAAAGAAAAGGTATGTATAAGAATGAATTGGAAAAAACTTTACATAATAGTTTACTAAAACAACTTATAACTACTTGTTGTACATACACTATAAAATAATTGATAAGTTTAAAGCAATTTTGTTAATGTTTCAGATTACCAAACCATTATCAATAATAAAAAAAGTTTTTTAATTTCTTTTGATGAAGAAGAACAAGAAAAACTTCTTTTAATCTGCTTGATACATTGCTGGACCTAAATCCAATTCAATGATCATCATCAAAAAAAGTCAAAAAACTCTTAGTAAGTTAAAGTTTGATCCTTTGAATTGATGATTAGATTTGTACTGAATCAAAACAAAAAAAACCCCTTACCAGCAATGATATGTGGATTCAAAAGTGTAATATTAGATGGAGTGACTTTCAAATCAACCTACAAAGAATCAATCATCAACCAAAAGAAAACTTCTTCAATGAACCATCACTAAATTTTCAAGAGAAATGAATGAACTTACATCTGTTAAAGTAATAAACATTGTACCATTTATAGATGGATAATCAACTTGACCCGGAAAAAGTTCTGAAAACGGTTGGATAGTTGACGCGGAAGAGTTCGTGACGTTGAATAAGGTTGAGTAAGTCACATTATATTCTGATCGGATTGATCAAAGATATCTTAGTTTTTTTTATGAAGTATTCAACGAAGTTTTTTGGTTGATAAGACATACGTGAAGTCCAAGCTGCAAACTAAAAAGAACATCCAAAAAAACCATCTCAGTAAGATTCCAAAGCATCAAACCATCACGATTACAAAAAAAGAAATTACAAACTTTAGGAACCCCAGAAGCAGCATGAATAATCGTACGATACTCTTGATTAGGATTCACAGTGAGACCAGGTTGATCAAACTTGAAATGAACCACTCTACCCGGCGAAGAAAGTGTCGTACGGTTATGAGAGATCGAAGGTGATTTAGGATCGATTAAAGAAGCATTTGGATTATTTAAAATGTGTAAAGTTGGAAAGATATCAAACTCGATCCTTGGGTTTGTTTCTGGACAACTGATTAAGTATGGATGTAAAAGTGTCCTATTTGATTGGGTAGATATCCATATATTTTTTAGTCAAAGATTAATATGTTTAGAATTTTTAACATTTGATTGTGATGGAGTCAAGACGTACCATGCCCAACTCTGAGGGATTCCAGCTATATGATATACAGGCATAGGAAAAAGACCTTCAAATTGTCGAAAGATCTAGTAATAGTAAGCCATAAAACAATCAGATGATCAATTGATTTTTATAATAAAAAGATTAAGATCACTACCTACCATCTGTTGTCTAGCCTCAGTAGTGATTGATTGTAATAAGATTTGAGCAGAATTGGGGTTTTCTAGGAAAGGTAAGAAACCATAAACTCCAGATTCACCCCATCTAGTAAGTCTAGTTTAAAAGAAAGATAAAAATGAAAAGCATTCATTAGTTCGATTTCAAAATGGGGTTTCAAGAACTTGATTGATTTCTTGGACTAGATTGAAGAAGACTCACTTTTGACAAAAATCAATAAACTCTTTGACCGTTTGGAATGGATATTCATATTTACAAGGTTTAGCAGCTTGAGCTAAAAATCATTGTATGTGGTAAACAAGCAAAGAAAACCAATCCAATTTAATTTTCATCATCTTGATTTTTACATCATTTGATGATTGGAAAAAAGACACCGACTTACGACCCAACATATTACTTAAAACAGTCGCATGTGAAACTTCTTGATCTGCCATAAATTCAATCAAGAATCTATACTCTGCATTAATTCCAGCTGCTTCAAATTCTTCTACTGAAAACTTGCTTAATCCATAATGAAAACTTTTTAAACAAGAAATGGTATTAGGGATGATGCTGAAGGATTTGATGAAGATGAAGATGAAGATGATGAATCTCTTACAGATCTAATTCTATCCATTCTTGATTTAATGCAAGGTTAATAGATTGAAAATCAAATCTAGATTCGATCTTATAACTCGGACTAAGTTGTTGAAGAATCGAAGCTGGCTTTTAAAATTCATTGTACAATAAATCAAACATCATTCACCAATTTCTCAATAAACATCGTTTAATGATTTTTTTTTGATTAATCAATGGAAAACTTACTTGTGAAATATTATAAAGTTGTTGATCTTGTTGAACAGGTTTATAAATCTTACCAGGTACATGAGTTTCTGATGCGTTTGGTGGTAAAGAAGGAAGTGTAGGAGTAGGTTTCGAACAAGCTTGACAAATCAATGGGATGATAGAAAAAATCAACATCTTTAATATATTTTTATGTAGTTGGTAGTGATGATGATGACGAATGAAGAGAATGAGAATGAGAATGAGAATGGTAAGGAGAAAGTAAAGAAAGAATTGAGAATTTAAGTGATGAGCTGATTTGAAGAACTCACTGATTCACAGATTAGAAAGCTTTAATGAAGATTATATAAACTGATGACCATTTGATTTGATTTGATTTGATATGAAGATCGAATGAATTTAAACGGTTCATCAGATATCCTTCTTGATCGAAACACTTCCATCTTCAACTAAAGCTTGCTTGGAATCGATATTTTGTAAGATGAACTTCAAACTATCAATCCTAATCAACTCTCAATTCGATCTTCATCAATCTGTTTCAAAACGATCATCCTCTGGTTTTGACGAGCTACATATAAGGGTACATATACGAGAAATGTCATCCATTCTTCACATGGTTAGGTGTTAAAGGACTTTGATTGAAGATGCACAAATTGATAAACATCAAAAGATATCATCAAGTATCTAACTTTAAAACCCTTGCCTCATTTCCTCCACCAGTATCTTCATCCTTTTGAGCAACCAAACGTTAATTATCTTTACTAGCTTGACCATCCTCTTCACAAACCAATCCGGTTCTTTCTATTTTGTAGATTGACACGTCTTTGTCAAAAGTACGAGAGCAGGTCTTGTAAGGTTTTGTACAGAAACAAATCAGAATCTATGGATCTGAGTAAAAAGCTTGAAAAGCTTCTCCAAACTCATCTTGTAGACATGTATACATTTTGATCAATGTGGAAAGCGGTCAAAGTCAACTCGCGAATCTCATCTTCAAGACTCAAACAGCTTGGTATGGCATTTACCAACTTCTAGAGAACTGGAGCATCATGAGCATCATCATTCATGAGGAATTCTTCTCAACACGAGAATCCGGTACAGCGTACTCAGGCAGCTGTTGTCCATAAATCACCTCACAACGGAATAAATCATGGGAATTTGACCAAAAAGGTCACCACCATCATTAAATGATCATATAAAAGATTCAGCATCCAAACGCTCGTCACGCATAATAGTAATGGAACCGAGAGGTGACAGTGAAATAGTCGGATATCTGTAAGATCATAGTCACTCCGAGATCTCACAGTCGAATTCCTCAAGAGGCATGTAAAACAGCACTTGGGCTATTCATAACTAAAACTGCATGAAATGATTCTTCGAGTATTACACTCCCAATGTCGATCGAGATAAAATTTCGTCAATTTGGAATCTGATACACAAGGGTTAAATCATTTTTTATGCTCTAACACCAGCAGCTCCACCAGCAGCAGTTACAGCTTTTTAGAAAAGAGAAAAAACATGATCATCGACATCAGTTCAGATGTGATCTTTTTTGGTTTAGTCAAAGAAAGATCATCAAAAACATACCGGCAACAGCATTCGGGTTGATTTTCTTGCCATCCTTGTTGAATCGAACTCGTGGTGGAGGAGCTCGTTTACGTCGATCGGTAACAGATCGAACACGAACAACATGAGCGTGAATAGCGCAAGATACACAGTAGTGCTAATGAACAAGAAGGTGCAAAATTGAATTGGTGAGCCATAGGTTCAAGAGACATGATCGGGTTGAGGTTCGACTTACAATCTTGACATAAAGCTTTGGAAGGACGTATTCAGGGTAAACTGATGCGTCACTCAAATCACGGATAGCAGCAGATTCTACCATGTTTCGAACAGTGAACCTAATTTGAAAATCAAGTAAAAAAAGCATGAGAAATGGCTTTAAAGGATGATCAACTGATCGAATCGCTTACCTCTTGATGGCCTTATCTTTAGGAACACATCTTGAGCAGTTCGAACATCTAACGGGGTTTACATGACCACGTCCAGATTTGTTTCGTCCTCCATTACGTCTCTTTTTGGTCTGTAAGTAAAATAAAACAGATTGATTTTTAGCCTTCGTTCGAAAATCCAAAGGAAAGTAGTTTGGTATTGCTTGAGGTGTTGATTTGAGTGCTGTGACGTATGATGATAGAGATATGTTGATCGGAATAGAATGTTGACGACCTACCATCTTGCCGAATTGATGAAGTCTGAAAGGGGATAGGTCGAAGCGGGAGGGTCGATGGCTTGAAGTTGGGATCCTACGGGTGGTTTACCTGTGGCTGCGCAGTCAATACGGTAATATGTTGAGAATGCGCGATTGGTGACGGTATGTGCTGGTCTCATCACAAGTTAGGTTAAGCCGACCCGTTGACAGTTCAATTTCACGGTACTCGCGACACGGGGCAGTACGTCATTTCAAAATTGGTTTGCAACTCTTGAGTCAAGTCAAGATGAAACGAAACGAACCCTCTCAAAATTCCCAATGCTGATCTCAGCAACTGGAAGATTATATGCAATTTAAAGTATACCTTGCGGTTAGGACAGTGAGAATACATACATAGATATCCGACTGGTCTATTCATATCACTCTCCTGTCTTCAAAACACTCGGAAAACCATGGCGGGATGCTGGATCCTACAGCGGCATTCGTGGATAATTTTCCCCCAGCCAACCAAATTGAATTGAACATTTCATTCTTGCGCCGAATGATTGGCATTTGGATGTGAAAAAGATATCTTCATTCTTGTTTTGCGAATAGGCTATGTATAAAGTCTTTCGATGACACACATACGCAGAGGCGCGACAGAAAGAGGCAACTTGCTGTAGATTGACTGTACCCAATCGGATCTTCATCATCTTGACTTTATCTCAGATTGGAATTGGTGAAATCATCTAGAAGCCAAGTCAATGCTTAGGTTTTTCATCAATCAATTCAATGCGATTCCAAGACAATGGAAGATCAAACGAGGCAATGATATCAAGATACAACGAATTAAGGTTAATACCTTTGAGTGAAATCCATTTTCATTCGAGAGAAATCCATTCTGATATACATCACAAATCGAGTAAAGCATCCTTCACTCTCGAGTAACATAAGCGACTTGGAAATTGATCCCTGAAATGGAATTCATCACCGGTGAAGAAAGTCATCAGGGGAGGGTTACTTGGGGGGATTTGCAATACCTACCCATGAGGTCTACTTGGGATGTACGCGTGATGATGAAGCTAATTCACCACGTTGTTGACTGAAAGAAACTTTTCAACCGGATCGAAATCTGGAATATATTTGGGACTTCAAACAATATAAAATGACCTTTTGATCAGAGTATCTAGTTCCAATCAGTCCATCAACTCATAAGATAGTTTTATCATCAAATCTCACTTTTACCATCTAAATACTCGAAATCAAATCTTTTAATCAATCAAAATGAGGTGTTCATCTCTCTTCGCCATGGTGGCCTGTTTAGGTAGATCCTATTGAATATCCATAATTTTTTTGTGATGGATGAAGTTGAATAGCTTTGTAAAATGTTCTTTCATTTCAGGTCTTACCACGATCTATCAACCTGTAGCCTCTATGAAGCTCGAACAAGGAAGTAACTTAGCGTGAGTTCCCAAATAAATTCATTAACTTATCAACGTATCATCTATTAATTTATGTTGAAATGTTTTTGATCCTAAACATTAAAGTGTCTCGACCAAGTACGATGAAGTTCCAGAAGCTTCAGCTGCTGATATGGCAGCATGGAAGAACGTTCAAGTTTACTCACTTCTTAAAACTTATCAAGCTTCTATTCAACAATCTACCGATAAGATTAAAAAATTAATGCATATGAAACCTAAGACTCAGAGTCAAGGTGGATTCGAATTTGATTACTGTCTTTCGATCTTTCATGAGATCGAATTGATGATCAGAATCAGTCATACTTCTTCTCACGGTGTTGAACAAGTTGAATCTAACCCAATGCCAGCTAAGATGCCTTTGAAGATTCCAACAGCTGTAAGTCGATGGGGTTTTTTTCATCTTCGATCTCTAAAGTTTATGTTGATATACCATATTGATGAACTTATCAATTTGATGAATTACTCTTCATATATTTTTCAGGATGATATTGCTGATGTCACTCACAACACTGCCAACCTTTTATCGAACTTTTGGCAAGAAGCTGCTGACACTACTCTTCCTTGTTTCGCGAAATATGACGCGCGTAAGTGAGAAGATTAAGATCAATCGAACCAAGATAGATGTTTACAGATTCTAATGATTGATGAAATTGATTTGATTTGTTTTGCTTCTAGCTAAATTACCTGATCTTGCCTCTGCTTTTTGTGATATCATTAAAAAAATCATTCAACATATTCACGACACCATTGCTTGTTTCTTCAAACACTTTTTCCCTGATTTTGATCATTACAAAGATCTTGGAATGGGATTTGATCAAATTCTTAATCTTTTGAAAGGACTTATCATCCCAGGTCAAATTGAATCGGCTTAAATGATTATCTTTTTTCAGATTGAAATCATTAAAATGATCTATTTGTTGTTTCTTTGAATCTTATTCCAAATCTTTTGAATCTTCTGTAGAGTACGATTTAACTTTTCGTACAAGTAAATCACAAGATGATATAAAAAAACCTACAATCATTTTTCATCTTTATCTTATCTTTGTGTTTTATCTATCACTATCTTGTTTGATTTTCCTTCGAAGGAAACTCGATTTGTGATTTGCTTGAAATTGACTTTATGTTTTGGTCTTGATGAAGATTCAAGGTGCGATGAGATTTAATATCTTTATGAGCTGATCCAGGGCTATATAGATATATTGAAATCCTACAGGCATCAATAGCTAAGCTAGTGTCAGTGATCCTTAGGATGAAACATTCTCAATATAGGTAATGCAGTCATAACATCATTATGTTTCTTCTTGATATTGCTGATTTTACCATCAGGACAATGAGTATTAGTTCCTGGGTGCTTACCATAAGATGACAGGGTGAAGGCCCTATAGAATAAAGAATCATTTATTGGTTGTGATTGGGTTTTAATATAACCTTCTATATGTCCTTCACCCCGTCATCTTACAGCAAGAACCCAGGTACTAATACTCATTGTCCTTGTGGTGATATCAGCGATATAAAGAATAGATATCTTATGACTGCATATATTGACAATGTCTAATCTTAAGGATCGCTAGCTTAGTTATTGATACTGGGTTCACTCAGTGGAGTTTGTGTTCAATGCTATGGGATCTATAGCGTAGCTCATAAAATGTAAGAAGCTTTGATAGAGCGCGAAGTGTTCTCAGTAAGTAGTGAAAGAATACGAGTAAGCAGAACTACCTACTGGTACGAGGAACAGACAATAAGATTGAATGCACTCTCTGTATTGTTTTAGATACCAAGAATACATCTAAGAAAGAAGCAAGAGTGGAACTACGTTATACAAATAATTAACCATGATGACATAAACGTTAAGGAGAAGTTGGTTATTGACAATACGTTCCAAGACTACACTAGAGTTCAAAAATGATTCTCAAAGTCTGCGTCAAAGGGTGACCCCAGTTACTCTCTGGAGCCTGAGGCGTCTTTCCGCTATAGCCTCTCTTTGAGATGTTTTGAATCTACATCATCAGAATTATCATATCTGCTTGATAAGCCGAAGAGACTTTAGTTGACTTGAAAGATACTTTTTGGAATCAGCATCATTTGGAAAAAGACTTCCCTTCTCTTATGCTCTCGCGAGGAGACTTTCAAAATTATCTCCAGATTTCCAAAAAAACATTCAAAGTTTAGAAAATAAAACGAGGCTTCAATCCGAACTCTTTGCATTTGTTTTTTGATTTTGTTAATTTTTTATACACTAAATTTGCATAACTTGAATTGATAAAAAAAAGAAATCTACTGAATTCCACAAACATATGCCCGATAAAATTGAAATCATCACTCAATTCAAAAGAAAAGGAAAGGAAATCAAGAGAAAGTGATGAAATAATCAAAGAACAATTTTTGAAAAGATGAGTAAAAGGAAGAAATCGATTATTGATCAGTTAGCCAAAAAACAAGAGTACGGAATTTTTTTTATGAATACAACCATTAGAATAAAAACCAATGATAAAGAAATCAAAACAGAAAGATATTAAATTCAAATTGCCGTTTTTTCAGTATTTTTTTCAAAACAAAATGACACATATACTAAAGATCTATTTTAAGTTTGATTGATTGCATAAAAACAGACGAGTTAGACAAGGAATTTGTTTTTTTTGCATTAAATTCCGATTTTGTAAAACAAAGAAGGCAAAGCATAGCTAAACGAAGAAAAGAACTCATCAATTTCTTAAGCATTAAGAAACAAACCCGATTGCAAAACCGAAAATAAACTTACGCTGCTAAGAATCCTATACCACAATAAACGATGAATCTCATTAAAACATCTATATCATGATGTTTAACATCAGTGGGAGGTTTCCATTGTTTAATTTGATGAGTAGTAGTTGATGTCTGAGAAGTTTTGGAAGGTTTTAGGTGTTGAGGATTTGAATTTTTTCTAGATTTAAGATTTGATTGATTTGGATCTTTCAAAACCTCAATGTCTTTTTCTGTTTGTTGGTTTACCGTTTCCTTTTGATTTTGATTTTGATCTTGAATAACCCCTTTTTCGGAATTCGATTTTAATCCTTGATCTTCATCTGGTATAGCTAAATGTAATAGAGATGGAATCAATTTAGCTTTTAATCCAGCTTGTTTAGTTTTTTGATTTAATTGAGTTCTATAAATCGAATAATTCTTGGTTGAATCATAATGTCTTCTAGGTAAATCGATTAAAGGTGAAAATAATTTGAATAGTTTGGGTAATAATCTAGATAAACTCTCTTTTATGATTAAACGCCAAAGAAAGATTATAAAAAGTCCAATGATGATCTTTAAAATTGATTTTAAACCTTCAATACATAAAGATTCTAATGGATTTGATGTTGATGAAGTAAGATCATTATGACCAAAAAATGGTCTGATCGGAATGAATTGATTTCCAGTAAGATAATGTGAAATCATTATCCCTATCGAAACAGCCAAAAAAGCAGTAGAATCTTCAAAACAAGGACAATTATCTATAGGTTCAGGATATAAACTTGTGAAAAATAATCCAATTGAAATGATCATGATTGGAATATTTAAGATTTTAAAGATCATGAAATCTGATTTCATAAAATCGAATTCTAGGATTTGAGTTAAGCAATCTAAAAGATAAAATTCATGTGAAACATAAACTAAAAATCCAATCAAACAACCCATCATGACATCTTGAATTGAATGCATACCACAATAAATTCGACCGAAAATTAACAGAATCCCATAAATGAATAAAATCAAATAAGTTGACCAACGGAACGAAGTAGATAGATGATTTAATTGACTTAGGTGATTTAAGATCATGAATATTGTAGTGACTGAAGTAGCAGAATGAGTAGAAGGAAACCCGTATTCAGATTCATGATTGCTGATCGTTAATCGCTTGATCGGAGGTGAAAATGGTCTAGGCACACAAAGATAATCTTTCAAAAACCCAGTAAGATAAACTGAATTAGATAAAATATAAACATGAGATCTTGCTTGAGTTGGATTTTGATCAAACCAAAAACATAGAGGTAATGTCAATATAAAGAATGAATGAGATCCTAACCAAGATGAATTTAACATGATAAAATCTAATAAAGGTGATTTAGTTTTGATTTGAATTTGATGTAAGATTGAGATTTCTGCATTTAATGAACGTAGCAATTGACTTCTGATCTTGAATCTGAAGTTTGACATTTGAGATTGATAGACATGATCAGGCTGAGTTCCAGCCTGCTGAACCATGCTTGAGTCATTAGTTTCTTCCCTCGTAGTTGTTGTTGTAGTTGTTTCGGTCATTGTTGTCTTCTTTGTTGGTTCTTTGACGTTTATTGTTTTCTTTTCGGTTATGGTTGTAGTTGTTGTTGTTTTGATGATAGGAGTTAAATTGCTCGATGATAAGTTTGTTTCATTATCTTCCTTCATAATGGCAGCTTCTTGGAATGAATTCAACTTCAGTTAATCAGTTAAGTTTGGTGCTTCTGATGAGTTTGTTTGATCGATTGAGGTTCCTTTTGAGTTCAATCCAGGAGCTTCCAAGATGAAGCCAGTTAGTTCTTGAGTTGAGGTTGTCAATCTGAATCGATGGTCACAGTTTGAGGTTGTTTGTACCATGAATGCGCTCAAGGTCGAATAAGCAACTCAGCAATGCAACAAAGTGGCGTTTCCTCAACTGAATTTGCAAATCTCTTCACTCCCGCGGATCACCCCATCAGGCCCTGCTGCAGCGAGAAAACCCGATCCGTATTCCATCTGGAAGGCCGAAATCAGAGCCCGGCATGGGTCAAAAGTCGACAGCGGGTATTAAAGGTACAAATCAGAAAATGATCACAAGTTTCAATGGAGCTCAATGAGGTGCACGATCACCATTGGTTTATTTACAAATCTTTGGCAATTTCTGAATAAACATCTTTAAGTTTCCCAGTGTCTCTAAATTTTCTTGAGCTATATTCATCTTTTGTTGCTGTTTACTTGGATCTGTGTTATAAACCATCCTATCAATCATTGGATGACACACTGGGGTATGCATCATTGTATCAAGAAGCTACACATGAAAGAGGCACAGGGTAAGAAATTCACTCAAATTGGGCATCTCTGGATATCTCAAAGAGTGATTTTTGTAAGTCATTCAAAAAGTTGTGGTAGAATCATGGCAGAATTTGTGAGAGGTTGTGCCCAAGGGTCCAATGCTGTCCAATGTCCATTCAGTGGCCTGTAAAAAGATATATGTACAGGCTGTGTATAGTGAAAATTTGCCCCCACAGTTCATAGCTCAAGTATGGTTAGTATGGCTGCAAGCTGTGATATTATTATTACTCAATATGAAATGTGCCTGCAGAAAGTGTAATATCTTGGGACCAGTTGCATTGTGCCTTAGTTTTATGATATTTCCCATTGAATGCTTCAAAAGTCAACTCACTTGTCCTTCTACCAGATAACCAATCTTGACTCTGTGTATTAGTAAGCAGTGAATCAAGATATGTGACTTGTAGGATTGTTATATCAAGGCACTCTGGAAGGCTTTTGTGTCCTTTGACATAAAGCATCCCCAAAAACCATACATATCTTTCTGTATTGGTCTCTTTAATCCAATAACTTTACTCATCTATCAAGGCAATCAACATGATCTTGAGGTTCACCATCAGTTCTTAGACTTGATTCCAGAATTCAGAATTCAGAATTAACAATGAAAGCATCAATGAGCAACATGATTCTTGCTTCAACCTGTGTCATACTGCAATGGTGTTACTTTGGTGCTTCCATCCCTGCCATACATGAATATACCTTGGTAGAGGAAGAAGATTTGCATAACATAGGTAAGCATTTACCTGTTCAAAACTTAGATTCATTCCCTCAATTGAACAAGTCTGGTTCATTTGCTGGGTCATTCTTCATCATACACAAAGATCATTGCAATGTTTGGCATAAACCGCTTGATCCAACTGATCCAACAACAATAGACCATTTACAATCATATTTAGAGAGGACAGCAGAGGAACAGAAGAAATCTGAACCCTTCTTCACTTATACCCCTGATGGTATGTGACAGTTCCAAACAAGAACCACACACAACAGCTAGAAACTTCTAACAAGACTTGTACACAAACTTAGCTGGAGTAGACTCTGTCAAGCTAATGAACAACATGTTACAATCAGATAAGGAAAACTGGCCAGAGCATATCCAAAATATATTCAAGGCTGATCCAACAGACAGAATCAAAAACTTTTGGGCATTCATTGCAATCATGTCAGAATTCATGTCAACACCAGTTCTTCAGAAAACTTTTTTTGAAATTGGAAAAGAGGAAGAAAGACTTCTACAAAGGGGAAATTTGATTGATTATGATATACACAAACTCATCCCAGTGGTATTAGACATATATGCAACAGAAATTAAAGAGCATGTGAAGTTGCTTGAAACAGGAGAGTATGTCAAGCTAATCTTACAATCTACTTGGTAGTCTTCTTTTAATGAAATTTTACTCATAATTATCCTCACAGCAAGCCCAGAAAAGTGATAGATATCTTCACAAGAGATGAGCAAACAAAGGTTGGAGAACATGGAATCCAACTGGAAAAACAGTGGGCCCCAACTGAAGAGGTAGAGCTGTACAGAAACTGGGCTTCAAGTGAGTTGTCATGCTTCTCATTCTTAATAATGATGATGCTGACACATATTACTGCAAGACATGATGTTATACCTGGAAGTGGAGGGTTCTGTCAAGGGAATTCTTGAGACTCAAGCACTTCAGGTCAGACTTGTGAAGAAAATCAGATTAAACTCCTTGGGTATCATACCTTATGAGATAAGCCAATGCCTGGAGCCTTTATTGAGTACACGTGTCCAAGATCTCACAGATGAATTATTAGACTCAATCAAGCTTTTAGATGAAAAGTGGGTGTAGAATTCAATCTCCTCAATGCTTTGAACCTTGAAGGCTAATTGGAACTTGTTGGTTTGTGTTTCAAGATCATGGTTACAATTTTGGTCTTGCCAAGTAAGATATGATGTTGGTATTCGAGATCGCTGGTGTGATAAGCCAGATGAGGATACAAGAAAATCTATATTGTTCTGGGTAAAATGTGAGTGATATCCTTGTGTTTTGTTGGAAGTTGTCATACCTGAACTCCTCTTGTGATTTGGAAACACCTCAAACAGATATGCCATTCTATCTTCAAATGAAGGCTAGCGAAGATACATGGGACTGGTACTACCTCATGGAGGAGATAATTGTAAAAGACATCAAGGGGGACCACGCCTTGGAATCTGTCATGAACCAATTCTTGACCAACCCGCCGCCTCTAAACACGCAAGACAATTTGATAGTCAAATTCCTGGAATTTGTTGTGGAAATGACTCAATCTCAAAGCCTCAGAAAAATTGCAAAGGGAGGGCTAGAGATTATGAGTATCAGTCCCACTCCTTGGTTTGTAAGGGCGTACAAAGATTATGGTGCTGAGTTATAGTGAGATCTATGAGAATTAGACTGGATATGCTCACAAATTTCACCTTGCTTCTTGTTATCTATATGTTAACATTTGTAAGGGACAATCTGAGACCAAATCTCCACTGGAGACAAAAAAAGCAGGTTTGTATGAACAGAAGTAAGGCTATTTTTGAAAACCCACCCTATCGGACCTTTTGAGACAAGAACTCTCTCTTAAGCCTTGTCAATCATTTATTTGAGAGGTGGAAATTGGGTCTTATTTGAGAACCCAGGAGGCACAACTTGGTTCAGAAGCCTAAGGGGACTCGGTGGAGCTGAGGGGTAAGTCCTGAGCGGTACAAAATCATTCACTGAGAAAAGACCTCTTGGCCAATGGAAAGCTTTAATAAAAACACTAGCCATAGAATTTAAAGGAAGGTTTGGCTAGTGAGACAAGTCAACCCGTATAATAACCAACAATTTTCACCGAGAATTAGAAGAGGTATGACATTTTACCAATTAGGAATCCTGACCAAAACTCGTCAGTGTTTTTCCTTTTGAAAAATCCACTAATAACTAACAATTTCAATCTATAAGTCATATACTAATCATCTAGGATTATTACCTGCTGGTTGTATTATTTGTGCTATCTTTCAAATCAGTCACTCCAGAGATGAGAAAAGGGACCTTTACAAAACAATCAACGGGTGATATCGTATTATGATTGATCCTGTCTTACTCTTTCACCTCTTTAGCTCTTTATTGTAGTTCTCATCATCTACTTCACGCCTCTTTTGAATTAAATACATTTTGGATTGTCACAAAGACCTCCAAAATTATTAAACAGTTTGTCAAAGAGGCAGACAAAATCTCGATTTCCTAAACAACCTCTTTGCAACCAAACTTCCAATTTCTTTCTCAAATCAGTCTGAGTCTTATTTATATATATACAATCAGTTCTCTTCTACTACATATCAAACTTGATGTACTACTACGTTAATTCTAAGAAATCAAAATCGCAATCAAAACCTTTTCTTCATTGAACCACATAACCAAGTTCTCTAAGCCCATCACAAGATTCGATTCTCTCTTGATCTAATTTCTTAATCGCTTCCCAATCAGCTCTATCATAAGACAATCAATCCAAATCAGTTTTGATATACCCCAATGAATCTTTTTCAAAAAAAGAAAAACTAACCCGATCCCTAAGAATCCCATCAAATTTCGTTTTTTAGTTTCTTTAATTTCTTTGAAATATTGACATTCGTTTTGTAATTTTCGAATCCAATGAAGTTCAATTGATTTTTCAAATTGTTGAAATCCATTCGGTAATTTTAAATCTTTTCTTTCTTCTTTGGTTTTTAAAACCAATGAATTCGATTCAACTGGTAAAAATTTGAATAATGAGCTTTCAATCTTGGATTTCAATCGAGTTTCTTCTTCTTTTGGTTTGGTATTACTATTGGTTCCTTGGGGAATCGGTTTATAACCTAATTTTGGATTCGATTTTAAATATTCTTCGTAAAATGGATGAGTACTAAATTCAGTTGGATTAACAAAATCTACGTTAATGAAGATAAGCAGAAAGAAAAGTTAAATGCATCAGTGATCGAATTCTTAAATTGGGTTTTAATCTTTTTCTTTTAGTTAATCGAAATGAATCTTACATCTAATACCAGCTGAATGTGTGACCCTTTGAGTAGGATAAAGTGTACTAGGAGTCCAAGAGAAAGTAGGATCAGGTTTAGAAGGTGTACTAAATAATGCAGGAAAAGATTGAAAGATTGAAATCAAAAAGAAAAAGATAATAGGTAAGAAACTAATCCAAGTAGTAGGAGTTCGAACTTCTTGATGATTTGATGTTCTTCTTTGATTTTGATTTAAAGTTTCCCAAGTGTTTTGACCTGAACGTCTAACCCTAGGCATACCTCCTCCAAATTGAAAGACAGTCGGACCTCCACCAAATTGAACTCCAGGTCCATCAAACATTCCTCCACCCATGCCTCCACCAAAGAACATACGAAAGATTTGTTCGGCATCCATACCTTCATCTGCGGTTGAGAAATGTGATGGATGTCGATGGAATGGACTTGGATTTGATGAGGTACTCGCGAATCTTGAATCTGGATCTGCCCCATGTCGGTCAAAAGCTGATCGTTTGTTTGGATCTGAGAGGACTTGAAATGCCCTGGACACCACTGTTTTCAGACAAAAAAGGTCAATTTCTGAACGTACCCAATACATATTAGACAATCCGATCAAGATCACAAGACTTACTTTTGAAAGCTTCATCCGCACCCGGTGCACTATTCTTATCAGGATGCAGTGCAAGCGCAAGCTATTTTCAAAAGATGAATGTTTCATCAAAATCAATTATCTCAATATAATGGGTTTCTCTGGGTAAATCACTTACTTTTCTATAAGCCGTCTTTACTTGTCCATCTTCACAATCTCGTTTAAGTTCAAGAATTTCATAATAATCCGTTGGTTTACATTTTCTAATTTTCTTAACGATTTCTAATTGAGCAGGTTTATAAGAAAGTGGTTCATTTGGTATACTATTACTAGGTTTAGGTGCACTATTATTTGAATTAGTTGTTGTTGTTGTTGTTTGTTTTCGATTTCTTAAAGTTTCTTTTGAAGTTGAAGTTGAATCGGTTGTAGTTGATTTACCTTTTTCTAATGATTTAACTAATTCTGATGCTTCTACACTCCAAAATAATGAACAAGATTTCCTTGCTAATTTTAATGATTTGATTGGATCTGATCTTTCATATGATTGTGCTAATTTGAATGAACGTTGTGCTTCTTCTCGATTACTATCCATTCAATTTGTCTTCTTTGAGATATCTTTCTTTGATTGTTAAATTTTGATGTTAGCTTCAATGGTGGTCTCGTCTTTGTCTTTGAGTGTTGGTGTTGGTGTTGGTGTTGGTGTTGAAGTGTGATTTGATGGTTTTGATTGGATTCTACAAATCGGGGTCATTGAAGCTGTGACACATCTCGATCAGGTACAAGCATATTTCACATCCTCATCTCTATACATACGCTTAACCGTCATGAAACTCAACTCAAACCTCAACAGCATCCATTGGGTTTATTGGCTAGCTCTCACTTCCTCCAATCATACCTAGGATCACTATCGGTTCCACCACTCTGCATCAATCTCGATCATCGCTGTGGAATCTACGAAGCCGTGATATGTCAAGTCTAGCTCAAATCCGGCTTCATTTCCAAAGTGCAGACTCATCGACCAATTATATGATATCATTTGCTTCATCGAATTTAAAGGACTAGGAGGGAAGCTACATTATGAGATATTAAAGGTCATCAATCGAACACGTTACGAACACATCGTCCTCTTCGCTTCGAATTTATCGGCTGACCAGAAAACGAGCACTGGATCGAGCGCGGTTAGCCAGAGGATATGAGCTTTTATCCTGATGAGCTCGGGTCAGAACTCAACTTGACATTTCTCAAGACGGACGATTATCGATCAGTTTCGATTCCTAGGGATCATGATGGACCCGATAACCTTAGTCGCCCGTCTACCGTCCAAACAAGGCCAACATTAAAGGGGTGATAAACAGAGGTGGATAACAATGAACTTCAAAAGAAGCTGTGGAAAAAGGAGAAAGTTGTGATGGAAAAGGTTTTTGGTTGTACATCTAGTATGTTACTGAATGTAAGTTAGATATGGTCAATTTCATCTACTCATGTTCCGCACACTTTACTTATACTTGCAATTCAAAACCTTCCAAACAAGGATTTACAGCTTCAAGATCAATGAAAAGCTCAGCAACCAGGGATTACACGAATAGGATAGGCAAAGATATCACAAAGAGAGGGGAAGAGATGGGGTTTTGAGAGGCATTCATGTAGACAAGTCTCTTGCACATCTTGTTCTTACCCATCTTCACTACCATGTAAAGTGTTTGTTATCATGTTTATTTCATTTTCACAAAGAAACAATTGTTATAGAAACTATTTGATAACCTCTTTGAATTTCGCATATTGTATCTTACAGAGTTTCAGCCTTGTAGCCTGTTGATGGGATAATCGATTTTCTACCTCGTCACCTTTGAAATACATCCCCATTGGGCCACTTTTATCGTTCCATGAGATACAACAATTGCGTATTAACTGACAAGTCAAAGATTAATATTTATCACATTCAATCAAGGTAAAAAATCCAAGGTCACGATCTTGTATGAGGACTGATATCACTAATACCGAATCAGATTCACTAAACAGGTAGAATTAGCTGCACACGAATGCTGGTATCAAAATCTGACATGAAGCACTTAAAATTTTCAGAGGCCAAGTCACAGAAAATTATCAAGGAGATCGTCGCCTGCACACGTAGAGGTTTGAAGCGAAATGTTCGGAATCTTCTTAGGATTGAGTTCTTTGTGATTCAATTGTACTGTGATGATATCATGATCAGTATCTCAATAAAGTCTTTTTTGTGGGTGAGTTACTTATGTCAATCCAAACTGACTGCTGAATTATATCTTCCAAGTCAATGCGAAGCTGGATATCACGCCGGAGGATACGAAACAGCTCTCGATACAAGACAGAATATTGAGGGAAGGGAGAAAATGTGGCTGGGGGCAATAACGAAGATTTCAAAGATACAAATTGATGGGTATGGTAACTGTCTAACTTCTTCTCATACAAATGGTGTCAAAGGATTCTCGAGATGACTGTTCTGAATATTGTATTTTGTGGTCCAAAGTGTCCCCCGTTGTAGGTTCATGACGGACAATACGATTCTCTACGATGTCTACGAAACCGGTCTCATTACAATAAATTGACAAAATATGGTTTGATAACTAAGATTTCAAAGATACAAATTAATGGGTATTGTAAATGTCTTACTATTTCGCATACAAACTCAAGATAACTGTTCTAAATATTGTGTTGTGGTATATAGGGTCTTTCCGCTGTAGCCTTATGACGGACAACTCAATTCTCTACGTTGTCCATGTTGGAAGGCACGCGTTTTGGGTCACTTATTTCCGTGGGAATCAAAATAGGATCTGGGACGTTTTTAATTGGACAATGAATTATAAGTCAAGGACCGGCATCTAACGCGTTCGATAAAATTAATGGCACTCTGAGGGAGGGTAGCAAAAGTGACATCTAATGATTACAAAGCAGGGATCACAGCTTTAAATATGAATTTCAATGAAAACCGAGTGAATTTGTTTTAAAATTAGAACTAGCTCAAAATCTGAATGAGAGTGGGTGAATCGTTACAAAAACACTTCAGAAATCGAGGCACTGCAAACAAGTGGAGACGTAGAGCGAATCATCAGTATAATGTGGAAGAGTTGAATGAATTGGAAGAAGTGAAGAATTGAGATTAGAAAGAGATAACATACCTTGATAAACTCAAATCAAGTTTATTAGACTTCGCGATGTAGAAAAGGACGAGGAGGACCCGGAAGACCGCAGTTTGAGGGACCTTCGCCTAAGATCAATTGGCAAATCAAAAATCAGTTAAAAGAATGGTTCATAAAATCGCCACAGAAAAGAAGACTAGGAAAGATGACATACCTAGATCAATGGCAACGAATTCGGATGGAAGAGTGTTTTGAGGAGTGCTGTTCGATGGACCTTCACCTAAAATCAATCATCAAATCAGAAATTACTTAGAAGAATGGTTTATACAATTGCCACAAAAAAGAAGAATAGGAGAGATAACATACCTAGATCAATGACAACAAACTCGGATGGAAGAGTGTCTTGAGGATGGCTGTTTGAGGGACCTTCACCTAAAATCAGTCGTCAAATCGAAAGTTAGTTACAAGAATGGTTTATAAAATCGCCACAAAGAAGAAGACCTGGAGAGATAACATACCTAGATCAATGACAACAAATTCGGATGGAAGAGTGTTTTGAGGAGTTTGAGTTTGAGGAGTGGGTGATACGACATCAACTGGTTTTGGAGTAGGAGTGACTGGACCGAGTTCGATTTCGTCTTTGGTGTCGGAGGAAGAATTCTTAGAAGGGATTTCGAGAAGAGTATAAAGTGTATGTGAATGAAGAAAAGCACAAAGAAGAATGATGTACAACTTTTTAACAATCAATTTTAAAAGAAACTCTTGGGGAACTTTGTGTGAAGAAGAGATCTTCCAACTACTCCAGATCAAGATGAAGATATTAAAGAAACTCAAAGGAAGATAAATCAAGAGGGTTTTTTTAAAACGGTGACCGAAGACATTATTCAGATTCATGATGACTTGATAAAGAGGTTGAAGAGAAGGATGAAAGTTTGAAGAAAGTGTTGTGAAGGTCTTTTTTGGTTTTGGGATGGTCGATTTGAGTAGTGGTAAAAAGTGGGAAGGGTGAAGGAAGCCTTTTGCAAAAAGTAAGCTTTTTATACTTGAGAAATACAACTGTGAAGCTGATCGACACTTGACATACCTGTAACATGCATCATCAGCTTTTTTGATTAATGTGATAATGCTCAAAGTGTATTGTGAGTATGCATTATTTGTGATCGGTAGTATTTGCCTGTGTGATGGCATTACACCACCGGTGTAGTACGCGCTAATAAACATGTTTTTGTGCTTTGTTCAAAGACCGCAACTTCAAGCATCAATCAAGCAAACCAACGTTAATTACCCTTCTCGATTTTTCCACCACAAAACAGCTGTCTTCGGTTGAATTTCTTGCACCGTTTTAGAGGTCAGAATGGATGATCCTTTCTATGCTGTTGAAGCAGTTTTAACAAAATTAAGCTGATGACAGGATTGTTTGAACACTTTGATAATCCTGTGGTCGATGTTTCCGGTGAAACAACGTGTGAGGTTCCGCACTCAAAGCCTTCAATCCTCATCAGTTAGACATACTAATATAAAGTTAATTCCATCACAGACTCATTCTTGACATCGCTTCAGACTTTATCTGAATGTAAGAAGTATTTCCTATTGATCCCTTGAATCGTGAGCCAAGCTTTAACTCCCGTTTTGTTCTCACACTTCAAGGATCAATATGCAATCTATTCAATAGGATGATATCAAAGAAAATGGTTGATACCTTCTCATCAATTTATTCTCAGGTCTTAAGTCTCAAGTTTGCGGTCGTCCAAGTGAGGACACCAGTTTTATCGTCTTTTAAGCCGACTAAAGCACTAACCTAACCATTCCTGATCCTCCAATCTCTTTCACTCATTCTGCATTGAAGAAGCTGATGATAGAAAGTATGTAATTACTATATAGAGGACATTTGATCGCATAATATTCCTATTACTAACTAAAAAGGAATCACAAGCAAATTCACTAGGTACCCTGACTTACTAAATCAGAAATTTGATCAAATCTTTTGACCACTTTTCCAAAACTTGTTCAATATTTTTATATTCTGACAATATGAATTTTAAACAACTTCAACTGGATCCAAATGATCGATCTATGCAACTGGGATAGCTTTTTGAATTTATGCGCAATGTCGTCCTCAGTCAGGTAAAAAAAGAGTATTTTGATTTATTCATGTGGTCCAAGGTGAGGATTGATGGTTGATCCATCTTTGTCACTTCTCCTATGAGTTGATGTGTGCATGTGCGTGCATTTTCATATGTGAATCACATCAGAGTGGCTTGCTAAAGACTTGGTGCACTTTGGTTTATTTTCCCTTGATTGTGATCATCCTGGTGATACTAATACTATCCATGTCATAGAACCGAGATGAGTAGAGTTTTCTTCCTCAAGATGTGATACCTTGTCTCCCTCATCTCACTCTTGAGTTTCACTCTTTCTAATTTTTCTCTCTTTGGAAAGACAGACTCGGTCTTCATCCAAACAATCATGTATCCCATCATCATGGTGGGTTTTACAAATTGTATCCTCCTCCCCTCGAGCTAACATTAGGTTCATCTGGTTATCACTGCCTTTGCATTTCATTCTTTGTCTTTAACATGTGCTTTTGAAATCCATCTCTTGGCCTTTTTGTTCTACAATTCTAAAGTAAAAATCATATGCATGAATCATTGAGCCAGATCATTCCACCTGGAACAATTTTTTGAATACCATGTTGAATTCATGTTTTATCACGTACACTAGCAACCATCCCACTATTCTAATTTGTTCTTTTGTTCTTTTTGTTCCTTCCCGTCTGAGCCTTGTATCCACTCTTCCGATTGTGGTGAATGATACTCACAACTACCACTGTTTGCTTAACCTATGTCTAGAAAGATTCTGCACTATATAAAGAGCTCATGTTTGCGTGCTTCAACTGTTTTTCTTCACTCAAACATATTTCTCTTTTGTTTGTGCCACCTTACAACAGGTGCTCCTTTCTTTCTTCACTTATTAGTGAACTCTAGCCATAGCGCTCTCCTATCACTAATACGTGATTCTTTACCAGGTCTGCTTAGTGTTCAATGCTCTTTGTCATACTGTAGTTTTTGTGCTCATGGGAATTTGACTCAAACATATTTCTCTTTTGTTTGTGCCACCTTACAACAGGTGCTCCTTTCTTTCTTCACTTATTAGTGAACTCTAGCCATAGCGCTCTCCTATCACTAATACGTGATTCTTTACCAGGTGCTCCTTTCTTTCTTCACTTATTAGTGAACTCTAGCCATAGCGCTCTCCTATCACTAATACGTGATTCTTTACCAGACACCTGCCGTTTCTTATTTTATCATACCAGTATTGTTGGTCATGAATTGTTCCAAGGTGTCTATGGGCACATCCAAATTTGAGATGTCCAATCACAAGGGGGATCTTCTTCAAGTATGCCTGTCAACACAACCCAACAAATTTATTTGGCATCAGCAGGCTTCAGTGCTGTCTTGGACCTTGGCGCAAGGATACAGAAGACAAACTTGGCCGGGAGTGAGGTTTTAACTGGTTTTCTGAGCCATTGTATGGAGTGGATTGTCTGTTCTGCTAATGTTTGTTTGATTTTCTCAATCTTCAAGTAATATTCCATTGGCACTAAATCTATAACTCGTGGGGAAACAGCAGCGGATGTAATCAGATTGAGGTCAGCTAGAATTGTCCAAGTGCTTCTGTTGTCTAGCGGCCATTCCGCTCCAGATTGCATTGCCATGAAAAGTTTAATGCTTCCAAATTATAGGCTTGCTGCTCCGTGAACT